ACTACTTAAAGTTTCTTCAGAATATGTTAAGAAACACTCCTGTATATGTGTCGGACTAGAGTGGGTAGGGAGGGAAAAGGAATACTACCAGAGAAGAACTGAAAGTTGGGAAAAGTCTGAATCCAAAGGGGAGTTCTTTGATAGAACATCTTTCTCCTTCTGAGCCTTTGGTGATTGAAGGAAAATAAATAGGGTAGATCTTTTGAGGACAAGACATGAAATTGGGCTGCTACTTATTTGATGATTGTCTTTGTTCTTTGCTCCCCTGCTCTTGGAAAACCATGGTAGGATGCTGTTCAAAAACTATTCCATCACTTAAAAAATGTATTTTAATAAGGCAAAGATTCACTCATCAGGGACCAGTCATTGATCAAAAGATGAGGAAAGGCAGCAAGATTCCAAATAATTCTGGGAATTAAAGAATTCTGAAACATATGATCACCATGGCTTAAACTCCTGATCCCATAGAGATCACTTCCAGCATCTGAAGCTGAAGACAAACAACAGAGAGGGGCAACTAAGTGACGCAATGGATAGAGTACCGGCTCTGAAGTCAGGAGGACCCGAGTTCAAATCTGGACTCAGATACTTAACACTTCCCAACTCTGCGACCCCGATTGCTTCGCCAAGAAAAAAAAAAGAAAAGAAAAGAAGCAACAGAGAGTAGAAACAAACATAGCCAGGCCCATTTTTGGAGCAGAGGTAAAAGAGTAGGAACAAGGGAAGGATTTTCCTACCCTTCTCACTGGTTCAGTTCACTGGTTCAGTTCTTGATGTCCATGGGGGTTACAGCAGAGAGGAGTCACCAAAAAGGGCTAAGCTGAACAATGGTGGAAAAGAGCAGCTGAAAAGGGCAAGTGGCTCAGTCTTGCCAGTTTTAAAGACATAGGCAGCCACTCAAAGGAAACTATCCCTCCCCTGTGGTAGGGGATACACCAGGCTTAGATCATGTTAGATGAACTGGACATGCTCAAAAGGCCTCTCTTAAGGGAGTTTCTACCTCCATAGTAGAACGAGGCATTCCCAGAGAAGTCCAAGTTACATAGTATTATCTAGGTTTTATTGTATTTTTATTTATTTTGTTAAATATTTTCTAAATACACTTTAATCTGGTTCAGATGGCACTTGGTAAGATTGTGAGCCTCATGTGGCCCGTCATGTTTGACACCTCTGGTCTGCATTATTGAGTGTGAAAGGACTATAACATATACAAGTCTTGAAAGATAGAATAGAGCCAAGTTGTGAGGGCTTTAAAGGCCTACAGAGGAGTATATATATTTTATTTTCAAAGCAAGAAAGAGCCGCTGGCATTTATTGAGTAGGGGAGTAATATGATCAAGTCTTTGCTTAATGAAATCAACTTTGGCAGCCATGTGGGGAAGAATTGGAATGGGAAGAGATTTGGAAAGGGAGATCAATTAGGGTCATAGCTGCCCCTAAGAAAATAAACAGGTCATAGGCACAGAACTTAACATTACCTAATAAGGATTTCTAAAGGATATTCTTTGCAATGAGGAGAATTCTTAGAGAAGAGGAGATAATGCGAGTTGTTCTTCAGGCCAATTTCAATTTGGCTCTCTACAACAACTATCTGGACACAGCAAAGGCTTGTGGTCTCACTCAGCTAATGAGTGATGACAAATCCATGATGGCCAATGGGTTTGAAATCTTAGAGATGGCTCCTCAAACTTCTCATTTTAGACAGAGAAGGTTCCATCTCTGACAAGTATCAGGAATATTTAAGGTATTCAGGTTTAGTGACTGGGATGGTACAGCCACTATAGAATCCTATACCTGATCGTCCTCTCTCTGCTTAGGATGTATAAAATTTATTATCTGCAGGAATTAGAGTCATCAAAAACACAACAAAAATTTTCGCTTAGTCTGAGATGATTATCATCATCATTTTGGAAGAAAGACCTTTCCAGCAGTTTATGGGCATAAGGCAAAATAATACTGAAATTGCAAATAAATAAATAAATGAATGAATGAATGAATTGCATAGATAATGGGGGAGGGGGAGGAAAAAGATAAATTATCCTAGGATTACCTTGGGAAATGGCATTCACTTTGGAATACAATAGAACCTCTTTTCTTGAATGTTTCCATATTAATCTTACCCAAGTTGAAGGGGAAGCCAAGAAATTCAGGATATAAAAATCAAAGAAAACAATATAGCTATGAATGGATGTACATGAGCATTCTCTTACAGCAAGAAGTATCAATTCATTTAGATTGGCAGTGGAAGGACCCAAGTTACAACTGAAAAAAAAAATTTAAATAGCAAATATATCCATATATTGATATATGGACATACATATATATATATATATATATACACACATATATCCTGATGTGGATATGTTTGTTATTTAGCAAATATATGTACATATTTATATACAGGTTTTTCTGAAAATTGTAGTGAAGTTTGAAGATATTAAAATTTATAACTTGAGTTTTAAATTATCAAAGCTTAAACCCACACTAAGACTTTTGAAACACTCTGTACATGTGGACGTATTTGTTATTTAGGAAACCTATGTTTATGCATGAATGTATACATATAAGTATTTTTGTTTGCTATTTAGAATTTTAGGAGATATCTATATATACATTCATATATGTAAAGGATATGAGTATATAATATGTATGCATATGTGAATATACATAAGATATGGTTTTTGTGTGTTTAAGTATGTGTTTGTATGTGTGTATGGAGTATATAGAACTATACATCAGATGTGAAAATCTAACTGTGGAAGTTTATATCAATGATGTTGTCAAAATACTCATTTTTCAGAAAATGTAATCCTTAGAAATATTTCCTTGCTTAAGGTAATATTTTTAATTGTTAATATGTCCTTAGGATCTCCATCCAATATTCCTTCTACTACTTTCACAGGAGTAGTTAGTCCATGCTTTACAGTATATCTATTGAGGTATAGCATGTTCATGGAGTCTAATATATGTACTGGGGAAAAGGAAATAGGCCAGGCTAGAGAGTATTTCCATTTAAAGGATGTCCTTGAGGATGTATGACAGATTTTTACACGCTTGAGCAGTACCTGCAGAATGCATGGGGATAGTGACAGGACCTGTGACTTCACTAACATAGGAAACTCCAGAAAACCCCCTCTAGCAATGCCCCTTCTCTGGAACTTAAAGAGTTAGAGTCACCTAGAACACAGTGACTGCTAGGTTGAAGCAGCTTGGAATTTGCAGCCTGTATGTGCCAGAGGAGGGACTTGAGCACAGGGCTTCTCATCTTCAAGGATAACTGTTTCCTTATGATGTAGCACTGCCTACATAGTAGACTAGGAAAATTTGCCACTTGTCAGTCCTCAAAAACCAGGAAGAAGAATGAGAAAATGATTCTACAAGTTACAAGTTCAGGTTGTCTTGGTTATTGTTTAGAGTTCTAAGCAAAAGTACTTCCCAACCATTTGGGAAAGTATGAGGGTTGTTGACGGCCATGAAGCTAGAAGAGATTCCTTCCCTGGGAGAAGCTAGTGGCTTAGCTTTCTCACCTGAAACAATAGATCAGGATTTTGGAGCAAGAATCACCACCAAAGAGGAAAAAGGAAACTACTACTTGGTGAAAGAAGGATAGACTCAGAATTTCATAACCTTAGATGCAGGGCATATTAATTGACAACCCAGAACATTGTTCTGAAAGGCAATTTTTATTTTCATCTCACCCTTTAAGCATTTATTGCAGATCTTCAAATTCTAGTATTGCCATACTTCCATCTACAATTCACAAACAGAAAGTGTGGAATGGTTCCATTCTGTGTGTGCATGCATTAGTAGAATGTCTTTTTCAGACTCACTGTCATTTTGTAGTACCTACAAAACATGACTCCAAGTCTTTAGGGATGCAACCAAAAAGGGTGCCTAATGTATTAGTTCCAGTGAATGGGGTGGGTAAATCCAATGGAACAAGAAATGTGAGCTGGTATGAATATTTCCACCCTGTGAGGAACAACTACAGAGACCACCCTATGTGTGAGGCCAAATACCCTTTGGAATCATGGAAAATTGTCTGAAAGTTCATGAAGATAAAACCTAATTGTAAACATTTCTGGCAGAATATCAAGTATTGCTAAAACAGGAGATTATTCTTAATGAGATCACTTGGGATGTCTGGAAGAGGCTATTCCCAAATATTATATAGCAGGACACAGTCCGTGAACTTGAGTCCGTGATAATCAAGGTGACTATCAGGCCCAAGTCTTAAAAGCCACAAGGATTGAAGCAACAGAAAAAGAGTTCCCCAGTAGGATCAGAAATTTACCTTCACTGGACCCCCAACCTTCTCTAACCCAATAACAACTACTGAAGGATGTCTTCAAAATTCATCAGCAATTTTCCTCTGGCATACCAAGGAGCCAATGCTAGTCACTTACTCTATCTGAACATTCAAGGACAAAGAGAATCAAGACACCTTCACTATTCGTGCCCTTTCACTATGAAAACTGCTCCTGTTAAAAAAAAAAGGAAATGGAGATATATTTTAAAATCTGTATAAATAAAATCATTGCACAGTTCCTGAAAAAGACTCTCGATTAGATTGGCAACAAAGAAGGTGAATGTTCAACTTTGTTTGGACTGAAGTCTTTTGTGAACTTAGCTAAAATGGCCACCTTTGACACTAACATCCATGCCATGCATTAATCTCTTGCCAAATCAGCCTCTCTTTTTCCACCAATAACTATGACTAATGATTTTCTTTTGGATGAAAACTTGATGGATCTCAATTACATTTTAACTTCTTTATGACTTTCTTTCACAATATAACCCATAGCACATTATAGGAGGAAGCTAGTGCTTCTGAAAAGACATAATGATGAGATCTGAGAAGTGGGCTGCATCTCTTTTGCTGCTACAGCTGTGTTACTTTAGCTTTGGGTCCTGTGGGAAGATCCTAGTGTGGCCTATAGAATATAGTCATTGGATGAATATAAAGACCATCCTGGATGAGCTG